GGGCAAACCACGGTAAACAAACTGCTGAGCGGCCCTTTTTGGGAACTCCTGGTGGGCCGTTGACAAACCGCAGAACAGACTATTTTTGCCACAGAACGGCCATTTTAATGGACATCTAAGTTGGGTGCACTTGTTTTGGCTCGCTTAGGACCAAACAACCGCTTGTGCAAAAAAAAAGACGGATTAGACTGACATGAGCCCAGTACTTGCATGAGGCAGGAGCTGCCTTACTGACACAGTTGTTGCAATGGTAATCAAGGCATGCTGCGTAAAAGTGCCGAGCTCAGCCAATTGTAGTCGCCATGTCATGTGAAAATGATGAAAAATGATCACCCTTCCAAAAGCAGACAATTACAGTAGCCTTTTGCGAAGAAATGTGCTTTGCTGCCTCGGCCATTCAATTAATACACTTTGGATTTCTAGGGTGCAGATTCTACGCTCGCGTCTTGGTCATCTGGGAAAGGACACCTCTGTCTGAAAAACAAACAACGTTCAAATAAGAACCAGCACGCCCCAACAACTGCTTTTAGGATTCCCTTTGGGGGCTTGGACGTAAGCAGTCGTTGGAGGGTGCTGGAGGGGTTCCCCATATTTCTTGGGGTTGATTCCCCATGCGTGTCAACCATCTGTTTTCTCTCGGGTTTGGGTGGCTTTCTGAAAAGATGCTCAAAGAAGGATTCCTGGAAAGAACGGAGAAGTAACAACTGGAATGCCCGAGCCGCTTGCTCGCTTGCTCGGGTCCCGGGCATAGCGCAGCACTGAGCCCCTGGCGCGACCGACATGTCTGTTGGCCAGCAAGCGAATCGCTTGAACAAGCCCAAAACATTAATTCGATGTATAACTTCGTCCAAGTCCAACCAGAATAACAATCAAGTCCTTGCCATGCCTACCTTCCAGTTGATCAAAGGGTGTGACCGGCGTGCCAACGCATTCTTGAACCAGTCAAAGACAAAAGGATGTGTCTTAAAATTGGGGTGTCTCCCTAGGTTTCCCTTTAAAACCGCCCCAACACGGAACCAACTCCAAAAACACACACACACACACAAACAAAAGCACAAAAGGGCCCTTCGGTTATTGACTCGTTGACTGTTCGGCAAGTCCCGCTCGCCGGCAATGGGTACACCAAAGGGGCTGATTCTTGTCTGCAAGCATACCATCAAGGCTTTGCTCTCTGGCTTTGTTTTTCCGGGCATTTCTGGGACTATAGCCGTCAGCAATTTGCTTACCAGGCTTGTTGCTCTCTTTATGTATACCATGTATACCATCAAGGCTTCTAATGGCAGTCCATGAACAAAATGATGAGCGAGCAGACGTATACGTAGTGGGAGCCCAACGTCTGCCAGGTTGATTTAATCCGGATGAACCCAAACACTGCTCCGACCAGCAAACAGGTCGCACCTGGGCCGTTCAAGCTAAGTTGGCACACGCTCCGATTTCTTGTTAACGCAATTGTTGCTACCAGTGGACATGAACCCCTGCGACTGTGTCTTCCATTTAAAAAAATGTTATTTTTGCCTCAAATTAGGAAATCCCGAAATTGGAGCTTGTCCTTTGTTCCCTTGACAACAGGCACACCCTAACATCGCACATACCCCGCACGCTCATCCATAACCTTGGGTCAGATTCAAATGGCTTTTTCGCAGGCACGCCAACGGGACTTCTTTGGCCAACGGGGTGCACCAGGGTGGGGTACAAGCAGAACCAATGAGACCAAGCATCAGATGTGATTGCCAGCTGTTATACACAAAGAATCGCCAGATTGCACACGGCAACCATTTGCCCGGAGCGGAGTTGACCAAAGCGAGAGCCAATTGCCAGTCTAGTTTCGTTTAAGTCGCCGCCGGTGCAAACCTGCTTGAACATTAAGAACACAAGGGACGGTAAAGGCCGCCGAGAAAACCCCGAAACACCGCACTTTCGGATCAAAGAAAAGAGACTGCTGAAATCCGGGGTCGATTACAAGCACACCCTTGGCCAGTCCCCCTCGAACAATGCAGCACACGCTGGTGGAATTCTCTTTTTGGGGAATGGAAGCAAAAGCATGTTTGAGGGAACCAGAGGGGATCCAAAGCGAAACCAAAGTGCTAAAGGAGAACCAACGGGGAATCAAAGGGATCCAACAGGACACGGAAACAATACATTTGGGGATTCGATCATTTGGCGACAGTTGGAGTTAAACCTCAGAAGCTTCTAATTCTGTCAAGGGCTCATTCTCTGTCACCGGGAGAGACTTGGACCATGGCTTGGTCAATGTCCAAACCTGAATTTACGTAGGACTTTTATCTTTTCGTGTGTGTGGGTTGTTCACACCATTCCAGAGAGGTGGCTTGAAAGGAGCACTGACTTCATTTCGGACATGCGCATGTGGGATTGTGGGGCTCAAGCGTTCGCTTGTAGTTCAAGTAAATTCAAACACTTTCCCATCAGGCGAATTAAACAGCTTATGATCACAACATCATGTGTCTGCTTTTGATGAGCACAACATGACGTTCTGCAGTTGCAAACAGCATGGCTGCCGGCACATAAAACAACTGAGATCATACCAAGGACTAATCTTTGCAAATCCCTCTCTTTTCTTGGTTCCACTTGGTAGTCTTTCAAGCAATAGTGGATTCCCTTGAACGATGAACGTAATCATGTGCGGCCTCGGGGTATACATTGCGGGTTCGCTTGACTAATGAACGTAATCGCTTTTGGCCACTGGGGGTACTTTCAATTGACTGCGAATGATTATGTGCTGTCTATTTATCCATAGCCGCCCATCGAGAGCCTAAAACAAACCATGTCTGCCAAGGTCGACTAAGATCTCGGTACCTCTAGCAACGGGTAAAAATACAATCTGTGTGCCAGAGCACCATGCAAGGTTGACTACTTGTGGTGCGGAAGCCATCAAATCAAAGGGAAAAGTGTGCCGAGAGATCTTAAGTGCCCCAAGTAGATGTGTTTCTACGCAGTTCCCAATCCTGGAAGGTGTCATGTCTTGTCATGAATCCGATTACGGCCCCTCCAGAAACCTCCAGCCTGATTGCAGAAACGGAACCATTGGGGCTCCCGGGAATGAAGCGCTGGCGCTGGCACTCGAACCCCCTGATGTCTAAATTCCAGGTTGGTTCAATGGTACCACTGTACTCAGCCCTCACCGCCAAAGCCAGGTGGCCGGGGACCAGTTCAAACAATACAATCATCACTCATCACCCAACCAAGCACCGCGTCAAGACTTGATAGGTAGCAACAGCTGTCCTGAGTGATCCGCAGTTGCTTCGTAACACAGGACACGCGCACAAATGGGTGGCTTGCCATCTTTCCCTTCAAACACCGTCCACGTGGGTTTGAGGTATTGGGAGGAATGCCTCGGAGTAGACAGAGAGCAAAATATGGTAAAGGACAAAATACCATTGTCTTGTGTGCAACTCCAAACGCGGCCAGCATGACTGTTGGAAGACCACGTTCCACTTCTTGTACTTCACCTGCGCGCGCAGGCTGACAGCGATGAACGCATGTATGTATAATCGCATGTATATGTATATATATATATATACACACATGCATCATGGTACCCCCGTGGTGCCTATGTTTCTCTGTATCAGAACCACGTGTTTCAGGACTTGTTGTATTTGTTTGGCCAAACATGAGCACCAAGGAAGGGGGTGTGCCATAATTATGCATGCTGGTAGTTGGATTCCTTAATACCCGGTATTCAGGAATCTGAATTCAAGAAACAAGCACCAAGAATCTTTCAACGTAGTATCATGCTTTGATGTTGCCAGTTTTGGGGTTTTAATATGAGATTCAAGATACAAGATTTCTGAACATTCGTTTTCTGGAATTCTTGAATGTTGAATCTTGAATCGCATGGCAGCAGGCTTAACATCTAAAAATACTAGTGGCTTAACGAATCAAAATATGGTTGGCTGAACATCTTAACACATTAATGGCTGAAAGCCCGAAACTGAAATGGAAAAAACGAATGGCTTACAATCTTAAAATATGTTTGGCTTGACATGTTGGCACTTGTATTAGCTGAAAATTCTTAAAATAGCAATGGCTTAACATCTTCGAATCTTAAAGGCTTTTAACATTAGACTCTTGCTAAGTGAAATCTTAGTCTTCGTGGCTCAACGTGCTAACATCTTGCTGGCTCAACAAATCTTACTAGCTTAACATATAAAACATGGAACAGCTGAAAATGTTTAAATCTGAATGGCTGAATATTTTAGGATATTGATGGCTGAAAACCTGACAATATAAAAGGATTAAACTCTGAATAATTTGAATTGCTTACACTCTTAAAATATGTGTCTCTTTACGTGTTAACATCTTAATGGCTTAAATCCTTGAAATACCAATAGCTTAACATCTTCCAATCTTGATGGCTTCAGTAAAGTCTTAACATCTTAGTGACTTAACGTGCTAAACTGGTCATGGCTTAACGTCTTAAAATCTCAATGGTCAAATATACTTAAATCTTCAGGGCTTCAGATCTTAGAATCTCAACAGCTTAAGATCCTACTGGCTTAAAATCTACGAATCGTGGCTGAACATCCAAACTTCTTAGTGGCGTAACTGGTTTTAAAATATTGACGGCTAAACCTCGTAAACTATTCATGACAATCCTAATGGAGGAGCAAATGCAAACAAATGTACTTATTAGCAATCGCTGATCTTGCACGTACGCCTGTCCAAAGGGAACATGTTCAAAGGGACAACTCCAAAGGAACACTTCCAATGGGATAAATCCATCGACACGTATAAGAAACAAGGGCCTGTAATGTCCGCGGTCTGAGCCGGAGGCGTTAAAGTTATATTATGCGCATATACACAATGGTAGCATTGGTCATCTGTGACCACTGCGCTAACCATCACTCCAACTACCGCAGGCTCCATTAAACTGCCAAAACGAACAGTTCAAATAGTGGAATACGTGGCCCTTCGAGCATGTCTAAACCACGATTGTTACAACCTATGGTTCCCGCAAGCAGAAACCCAGGGCCCCGATGCCCCTAAGAGTCGCTAGCACAACTCCAGAACCAGGCAACCTTGGGCTACCTCCCTGGATGGGTTTGGGTGTTGGCTTGGACCGTGTTGGGGCAGCAGAAACGAAAGCCACATGCCCGAAAGCTCGCCTCCTGCGCGTCCTTGAAGACTGCTTGGAAGTTCTCTTCCGCCAGGCGCCCCACCGCCGGAATCCTCGGAAAAGCCAACGCCGAATGACGAAACCAAACAACTGTGTGGTATTGGCTTGATATGGCCATGGTCAAAATCCCGTACCTTCGGTGAACATCCCAATCCCCACGAAAATGGACGAAAATGGGTGGTGCACCTACCCCAAACTGGTACCATTGGTTTTGACCCACAGTCATATCATGTTCTATTGTTGTATTTTGCGTGCAGAGCTAAATGCATGCCTGGAAAGAGATCCATCACCTTTACCGTGGGAGATTATGCAGAAGGGGTCAGGGTGGTTCCCAAACAGGGTTGCTCCCAAGACCTAGGGCTAGAAATGCGGCGCAGCAAACCTGCCACACCTCTGGGACGAAACGTAAGGGGCTAAAAGTGTGAAAGCACTACTCTCCGTGATCATGAGGTAATCTGGGTTTTTTCCCCCGACAAACCCCGTTGCACAATTCCGACCTCTATAGTACCCGAAGGCGCCAATTCCCATCAAGCATGGTTGGCAATGGCCCATAATTTACAGGACATTCCCCCAGATTGTTGCCATGGGTGATCACAGCTACTGTAAATTGTGGGTACATTAGCAATTAATATTTTTGGAGGTATTGGAGACTGGTACCCGCAAGGAAACATGTACGTCACACCCCTCCACCGCCGCTTTGGGAAACCCCGAAAAGATACCACCCCCGCAAACACACACCCTTGGGGAAGACTAATATGGACCGAAATGGGAGGCGTGTTTATTGGGGGTGGGTGGGTGTTTAAGGGTGGCAGCAGCAATGCGTTGTCCCTTTCTGAGGGCTTATTCTGGCTATGCCTCCTCACACATCTGCGAATCCTTACACGTGAAAGAGGAAATCTCCAAGAACCTGCATCACGGCATTCGCTTGTTTCATCCCCGAATCGGTGAGCTCACCGTCAAATGGCAGACACATTGCCTTTCGCGGGCACCGGCTCAGACCGCAGCTGTTTCACCAGATGCGCTCGCATGGAGCGGTGCAGGATGGTCGCCTACGGGCAATGTGGCCAGGCGCAAGAAGAACCCAAAGGCCAAGATGAATACCAAGGCTTACACAGTATGGATGGGCAAAATCCACTTTGCAGCAGTTGGGTAAAGGACGCCTTAGGGGATGGCAAACATCCCACTGTCGGGAAGCCTTGGGGAACCTCCAAGCAACCCTCAAGCAAGGCCAAATGGCACTCAATGGGGACGAGGATTTCGCATTGGGCATATGTCCGAACGGTGAAAGGCAAGTAGCCTCGCTCCGACCCATCCTGTCTAAACTAGGTGAACGGCGTTGTTGTTTTGGTTTGCAACCAAACGGAAAGCACCAAAAGCCCGCCGGAGGGTTCCCCCATTTTTAAACATTACTCACACAGCAGCTTTCGGTGCTGCCACGGTCATGATGCTTGTGGTGCACCCTCACGGGGAAAAGGAAACACTTCACAGGGTTTAGTCCAACCCAACTAATGCTGGATTATGCCCATCCACAGTACGTCTTCCCGGCTACCCAGTGCCCCGAAAGGTAGAAACAAGGAACCACATCTTTTTGGAGCTAATCATTTCTTGGTGAAGCGGGAACAGGGTGTCACCGATAAACCCTGGTCAATTTTGATCGGGAAGGGCGGTCTCGGAAACAACTTTGAAAGCAAGGGGCCCAAGGTCTTTGTGTCTGCCGCAAGCCGCAACCCCAGTGTAGCGCTCGGAAATCGCAACTCACAAGAGTAGGCAAATGGCAACCCTGAAAAAAGACAAAAAAACATTGAGATTTCGCGAAGAAACAAAAAAGGCCATGGACCAACCCTGCTTGCCTAATGCTAACCTTCTCTCCATAATTACCAATTTACAGATTGCTCGGCCGAATTTCTGCCCACAGGAGGTTTCATCTTTTCAGGGCACGGAGTTACGTTGGAGAAAATCCTGCCCAACTCCTGATGCGAACGGCATGTTTCGAGTGGAAGATGATCTTCTGCTGATCATGGGGCAACTGGACGACCTGTATTGCCCTGCAACCCCATTCTGATTTTGTAGGACCTTATAGTACCCCTTTTGGAGGGGGCATGCTTTAAAGAGCAAACAAAAGGGACACCGAAGCCCATTTCTGAAGAACGTGTAGCAGATACACCATAGATCATGAATTATGATTCTCGAAGATTGAATTACAATTGACTATGGCGTACGTCCATTCCACGGAGCATTACCACTCATCTGGGCAAACTATTATAATTCCAAAACCGGAAACAGGGAACTCCCAAGCATCTGACCTTCATCACGGCGTTCGCTCATTTCAACCCTGAATCCATCCGTTCGGGCAGTTCATTCCAAAAGAACGAGCAACCCCATCCACACACACACAATATGTATATATATATATACACATATGTAGCACACAGAAGTATGGATTGCAGAATCATTATATTCTCCATATACCTATTCACTGTACTCTCCAAACAAAGATTAAAAAGGGCACTGGGGGACCTAGCTGATGCTTTTCACGGATTGAGGAAAAAAAGGCGCCCCGGCCAGCTCCGTGCGGTCGGCCGGGTCGGTCTCTGTGTCCACCAGCTCCTGACGGACCACGGACGGCATCCCAGTGGATCCACGGAGGCGAAGACAACATGGCGAAGGGTTAGGGAACCAAACGGATCCACCGGCAGAGATATCCAAACAAGAATGATCCTGCACAAAAGTCATTGGCTCCAATGCCTGCTGTTTTTTTCTTGGTTGAAACCAGGGACTGTAGCCCTTTGATCTCCATGACCTGTTTGCTTCCCTCACTCACCACGTTTGTGACCTCCATTGTACATTTTAAATAGGGGCCAAACAAAATAGGCTTGGGGTCAAAAAACAGGGTCCCCTGTATTAATAGGGTCACCAGGCAAATGATCAATCCGGAAAAGACCTGGTTCCAAGTTGATTTGCATACAAATGATCAACCCGGAAAAGAATCGGTTCCGTTTGTTTTTGCCAGAAAAAGAAATGGAACCCACTCATCTTGAGGTTCAGCATTGTAATGGGGAACCCATCCATGGAATGTGGAAAGGTAACCACTGAACTGGGGGATCCGAGCAATCATCCCTTCCTTCCCCCTGAGTGTACTTGAATACTCTAAACTCGTTGAGAATCGAAAATGGCAAAAGACTCCCCCACAAACAAAGGGCACCCTTTTTTGGTTGGTAGCTTTTCAAGGGAAACCCTTCCCAGCAGCAAGGAGAAACGTGAGCCACTGGGCAACTGGGATACGGCCAACAAGTTTAAACCGTTTGGCAACTCAACAGGTAAGCCCCACTTGAAAATGTGTCGGAATCGGGTAGAGGACCAAAACTGATTCATGTGTCCATTTGATGTCCCTATAAACCAGCCAACAACTGGGTATCCTCAAAGAGCACACGGCTGGCTGTCCGATGGAGCTCTGAATGCCCATGGACCCCCATCGACCGATCGACCAGTGTGGACCTCGTAGCTGATGGAAAGCGTCATCACCTGACTTGAGTTCTTGTTGGGACCCGCTTGTCAGGGTACCGGGGTCCTCTCGTGCAAAGCCCCTGGCAACGCCAATTTCAACTGAGCTTCCTTTGGGGCGATATTCAAAGAAAAAATGCAGGGAGCCCTAATATACCTCGCGACCCCCGGGTCGTGGTTGGTGGTAGTGTTAAAACAACAAAGAAAAGCAAAAACCAACAGCTCTGGACGGGTGGAAAGATTGGGGCTCTGGCAAAGAGAAACCTAGGGAAATCAAACTAATTTTCTACCCTTGCGGCTTGGTTGACTTTGCCTCGAAGCCGGCCGCTTATGCCAATCCAGGCACAAAAGAAATAACTGCCCATCCTCAAGCCCTGCGGTTACTCGCCCAGACTGAAATCGGCGGGCCTCTGTCTACACAACTGAAACATCAACAAACACACTCCAATCGCCGGCCTTTCGCGCTCCAATCGCGACCACCGCGGGTCCAATCGCGGAGCAAACCTGGTAACCTCTTCCCATCTTACCAGCAAACATGTAGATGTTACCCGAATCGCGGCCCAATCACCGGCCTTTCGCGATGCAGGTGTTCCTATCGTGCACAACTAACAAGCTACCCGAAGAAACAATTTGAAGACGGCCCCCCATATGGTGTGTCTGTGTGCCAAAGTAGGCCAAAGACCCATAAACAAATGGCATTGTGGATCCCCTTTGGTATCATTTCAACGACATCCAAAATGAGGCCTCTTTCCGATTTTTGACAGATTGCAAGCGCCAGTCAGCAAAATTATTGAGCTGAAAGCCAGCTGTTAGGTTCTCGCCTGCTCCTGGGAGTTCCAGAAATATTGACCCAGAAATAATTACCCCTGACTAATAAAGCGCCAGACCAAACATGTTCATTATTGTTATTCTTAGTTCTTAGTAGGAACAGAACACGATGCTATTGGCGTCGCATGTTCGTGAGGATTCCTTTCTTTCAAGAGAAACCCCTATCAATGACGTGCGGGGATTCAAATCGGGGCTCAACATTGCTACGCTCGTAGCCTTTCCATTCTGACTCCTCGGGGAATGCACAACGAACAATCGGCTGGGGTCCTGTTGTTCGACGAAAAAGGATGCGTCGCAGAGGGTTCCCTTTTTCCCTTGAAACATATTTTTTGGAAAGAAGGATCCCGGAAAGGAATGGGGAAGATACTTCTTGAATGACATATCACCACGATACATTTCACTCACAAGCAAATGCTGAGAACCAGCGTAGATGCGGGGACTTCTTTTGCAGGCCTCATGAGTTTGTTTCCAATGTGCCTATCAGGGGCGTGACGTACCTGAATCTTCCCACAAAACTGATCTCTTCTTCGGCCTGTCACCAAAAGCAATCCGCATCTCAAACAAATCCGCACGGTGCCCTCCAACAAGTAAAAATGATTGTAAAGGCTATGCCAACCAAACACATATTCGAACTATTGGGTAGTCAGGGTGCGACATGTATCCTAACTCTACCCCAGTTACTCCAAGCAACGAGCCGCAAGGTCGGGTTAGGGCACGTGTTAAAGGGTGACAACTTCTGGTATTCCCTAGGGTTTCATCCACTCGAGTGCCATATTTTTCTCCACAGGTGCCATCTCGTTCTCTCCGAACCCGGCGCGCTTTGTGAGTCGTGAGCCTCGTCGCTGTCTGCGGTGATGGTGAAGCCCATGGGAGCGCCATAGAGCCTCGCCGCTCAACCAGCTGCGCCGTGGAACCAGAAGGTCAACTTGGTCCAAAACTGGTACCTTTCTCCAGGCAAAGGAAATCACATGGGTGTGGTTTGTTCACTATGTAGAAGCTCCCAAATGGGGCCCGGTCTCCCTTCGGCTTCTCAATATAGAAAAAGGACCCTCCGAAAAAGATATATGCGGCTTGCCTGAGCTCCCTTCTGCAAAAAGGGTACGAGCACCTCCAAAAACGGTCTCTTGCTCACTTCCTGAATGGACTGAAACCATTTCAGTTGCTTGCTACTAAAATGGTCCGAACCCAGCAAGCCGTAAAGCAAAAAACCGATACGAGTACCCTGAGCTGCCCTCAGATCCCCCGCCAAAAGTTTAACTTTTAGTGGGTTAAATGGAAACTACCACTAAAAAGCTAAACGATGCTAAGGAACCGGATGGCTGGGAGCCACCACGTACCCTCAACCAAACTTCGGTTTCCCTTGTAAACCCCCCCCCCCCATTGGGCCCAGTTTCGACGCCCAACTTGCGCTGGGCTGTCAGGCAGGCCCCGCATTCCGAAGTACTGGCCCGGGCCCAAACGCAGCTCCTGTCAGACGCAGTTCTCCCACCCAGAGGCTCCCGATTTTAGGGCCTTCAAACAACCTGGTTTTGAGCCCCCCAACCACCTCCGGGGTGTCTAATGGAGAGGTCGGGTCTTCCATTGAAAGCCCCAGGAGCTTCTGGGCACAGAAAAGCGGCCTTGGTCTTGCTTCGAGGGAACGAGGGAAGGACCCTCCTGTAAACTATCACTTGTAGTTTGATTGAAGACCATTTCCGGAATCATGTCCGGAATCCTTTCCGAAATTCCGGTTGTGTTTTTTCTTCCCTGCCAGCAAGTTGGTCTTGCGGTCCCGGTCATAATCAATTCGCATTTGCCCGATTAGTGGGGAAACAGATCCTTCCCACATCCTTCCAGCAGCCAATTTATGGTGGGTAGTGCGAATCAAGCCTGCGCTTCATGTATGCCATGACGAGATACGTTTAGTGCAGTGGTTTTGTTGGAAGCTTGTAATACTGTTGTGTGTCGCAACACCATATGCTTTGGGAATGTTTTGAGAACGAGTTGAACGGTTGACCCTGTTCCCATCCATTAACAATCACTTGCTTTTAAAACAGAAATGTCTTGCTGCTGCTGAGAAGGAAACAAATACATGATTTCTATGAGAATCCCTTGTGGTTCTGCTGGTTTAGATTTTCCAACTCCCCGTCGACATCAAATGAGAAGCCACCAACATCCGAATAAAGAACAACTCAGTATGTGAAGGACCCCAGCTAGCTCAGGGAGCACAAAGTGGGAGTCCTGTTTTAACAGGACATCCAAGAAACACCACTTGATCCATAATTCTGGGAAGGTTAAGGGACAATCCCAACCATAAGCAAATTGTTGTGGATACCCGTCCTGTCAAAATTATTTACGTGGATTTTGCGTAGACCTGTTCAGCACCAGGTTTCCGTTCGACACGTATTTCAAGGGCTTGCTGCAATCGCTGTGTGTCTCCTACAGGATTCGGACCCCCGTAACTGGCTGACTTCTATCCTGTTTCCAAATAATACCATGCGCCTGGGCAGAAAGGAACTCTTTTGGGGCCCGAGATCACTTGGAGTTGCGCTTTTGGACATGTCAGCATCCCCTGAGCGCTCCAACACAGATCCGCCGTCAGGTCGCAATTTGTGTCCCCAACGATTTGGTGAGTACCCGCCATTCCCCAGCGGCACCTTGGGTGAATGTGCCCAAGTGTGTCATCACCTTTACCACAGTAGATGATGGTAAGTCAGCTGCTAAAACATGTTCAAAGCAATATTTTTGAAACATCCTCATTCAGGCTTCCCTCTAAACGGGATCATGCCCCAGTTGTATCGGCTTGTTTACGCGCCATGATTGTTTTACCATGTTAGACAACCACACACCCCATCTCTGGGTGTTTTTTTCCATCTGAAGGCTTGGCCACTCGCGGCGTCCTGAGCTGGCTGCCGATTCCTGGCTCTGCCGCAGGGGCTCGGTGCAAGGCGTCTTTTTTTGGAATGATGGCCTTCTTCTTTGGACAAATAGGGCCATGGGTCCAAATCCCGTACCCCCAGTAAACATCCCAATCCCCACCATCGACTAAACTGAATGGTGCACCTACCCCAAAATGGTACCATTGGTTTTGACCCACAGCCAGATGAATACCATGAAAACTCAAAACCATTCCACAGTGGCAATTTGCCGGCAGTGCGGCGAATCAAACTAAAACCTGCGACATCTCTGTTCAACTCAACGAGATAGCCCTAAAGGACAATGGCCTTTTTTTTTGTAACCATGCAGGTGGCTTGGAATGCGACTTAGTTGAATTGAAACCATCTAATGACAACAATTCACTCAAATTGGAATGGACCCCCCAACCGTCAGAACCATCCCAAGGAATCAATTGGGAGCGGGGATCCGGGGGGAGCGGGGAGGGTTCTCCTATGAAAGCACGGAGCAGTCCTCCGCGATGGAGTCATGAGGATGTTGCCCTGCTCAATGATGTACATGCGTGACCTGCAAAGGAAGTGCTGATTTAGGGTTTAGGGTTTCGGGTTTCGAGTTTAGGGTTCCCTAAACCCTAAACCCCAGTCTGCAGGAAATGTGGTGGTTTCATCAGGCTTCGGTAACGGGATTTATGTCCGCCATCAATTTTGAGGTTCCCTATGAATTTTCATGGGACCACATGTTGTAAGCCGCAATCCTTGGCCCAAATCTGGGGAACTCAGAACATCGTAATTTCAGATATTAAGTCAACCGTATTTAAACCAACCAAAACACTGGTGATCCCCCAAATGCCTGCGCAAGTGGCAGGGTCCGGCAGTCTGCTTGCTCCTTGTCCCCACCTACAGGCTCGTGACCGCAAACTCTCTTTGGCCCTCCAAAGAAGATGGCCATTTTGAGAGCCCAATGCTATGTTTGACCCGGCGTAGGCAATTACATATTTGACCCGGCCGCCAATCATAGTTGACAATCCGAGGACTCTGGAAGACCAAATCTTTCCCCCGGGGCGTTGTCCCCCTTGTCCACTTGCATGATAGCTAAAGTCATGAATCACTGGAAGCCAAATCTACGCAAGTCCCTCACAGGACAAACACAGAATTCCCCGAGCTTCCCGAGTCCGAGCGGCGTGATGTGGTTCTGGCCCGCCAGAACTGCGCCCTTGTACCACCTGGGAAACTGGATGGGACAGAAGCTCCAAGGTGGCCGTCCATGATTTGGACGGCTCCTGGTGTGCTCTTAGTGGCTTCGAGTGTTGTGGGGTGTGCTTCTGGTGTGAGCGGGTTTAGTGTTGGGAATAGGGTGGTGCTTGTGCAAAAGGGCTTGGTGTTTTTAAAGGTTGATCTTACATTCTTTCACCCGTCGGGCTTTGATGATTCTTGGCAACAAGTGGGCAGGTGCGGCTGGAAGCATGCTCAATCCAGCTTCACGTTCCGCCGACAAAGTTACAGAAAGCCCTGACGAGTCAAGGGCAGTCTCGCTCATTTCGGAGAACAACACAAGATTGTGAAACACGATCTCTCGGCCGTTGCCAGGCCATAGGAAGCCTAGACCTATGTCCTGGTCCTTGTACCTTTGCCGGAAATCGATGAAGGTGATTTGCCACAAAAGCTCGGAACCCGTTCACTTCTTCAGTAGCCCTTTACACCGCCTTCAGGGCACCTTAAGGCTGTGACATTACGGCTGTGACAGCCCTGCAGTTGACATCAGCCAGGCATCCACTTGGCTTCTTGTTTTTGAGGGGTGGAAATTCCCACCTGCTCACGAAAATCCCCTGCTCCCCAATTTGTTTGGATACAAACCCATTTGCTAGCCCAAACCGTATCAGCTCAAGCACAATGCTTCCAACACAGCTGAGCCTTCATCGAAGGCAAGCACGTTCAACAACCGTGCCCGGATCGTGTCAGCAGGGTTTGCTTTTTTCAGCGATGCCTTTTCGGAGGAATTCAAGTTGGACATCCCAGAATTTCCACATCTTTAAACGCGTGTGTGGCCCTTGAGCCATTGCCTCCCATACGAACAGGGGCACAGGATGCCTGCTGGCCAATGGCTCCTTGGCCACTTGGGAAGAACGAATCATCCAAGGGGACTCAGTTACCCCATTTCCCTTCGCACCCCGTGTGCGCTCTTGTTTTCAAGTCTTGGAGCAAGGGCTTCCAAGATACGAACACATGCCAAGAAACAAAGCTTCACCTCTCTGCACCTTGAGCCATCTTAGCCAAAAGAAAACCAACGCAAGGGCCAGACTTACCACAAAGCTCTTGGGGGCCGTAATGGTTTTTGCGGAGTGCCCCTGCCTCTGACTTTTCAGGGCGATGGCGACTTTGGCCTGGCAGTGGCCAGAGCTGTAGCGAGAAATAGGTGACCAATATGGTTTGTGGAACGCTTGTCGCGCTGCTCACACACTATGAAACAAGAGCCATGGCACTAAAACCTGTGTGAAGAGCAAGTATGTGTGACTAATAGTGCGGGCCATTAAGAGCCCAGGGCTGCCCCCATTGTTGCTCCGAATCAATATTGGAATCGCCTAATTATTTCCTTGTGTTTTCCCTGCAAGGATCTGCGCGAAGAAGCAAAGAATCCCTAAGGACTTGCAGTCATTGTAAGTCCATGCTCGGCACTAGCGGAACGCCCGGGAACCACGTCTGTACCAAACCCTGTGAGAGTCTACAGGTGGGGTTCACACCAGGCGGACAACACTCTTTGCGGCACTCCAGCGAGGGCTTGTGCCTTGCAGGCAAGCCACAATCCAATTACAGCCAACCACAAAGCAAGCCGAAATTCGCTACCGAAAGAACGCATGGCTCGGCCAGCTGAACACCAGAGCCAAAAGCCAATTTCATTAAGGTGAAATACATAATCCCAGGAAACATGCATGATGAGCGAGCTGGCTTTACGACCAAGCGAGCTAGTGGGCAGGCAAGAAGGTCAAAATACCTAACGCCCAAGCTGGGCGCAAACAAAAGCACACCACATACAGCATGAACATGTGTCATGTTGCCATGGGCCTACAGATTTCTAGACCCCGCAGTAGCAGCAGCGCCAGGGGCGGCAGCGTCGGTGGCGGTGGAGGTAGTAGTAGTAGCAGCAGCAACAACAGCAGTAGCAGGAGGAGGAGTAGCCGTAGTAGTAGTAGCAGCAGCAGCAGCAGCAGCAGCAGTAGTAGCAGGAGTAGTAGTAGTAGTAGTAGTAGTAGTAGTAGTAGTAGTAGTAGTAGTAGTAGTAGTAGTAGTAGTAGTAGTAGTAGTAGTAGAGTAGTAATGGTGGTAGTAGTAGTAGTAGTACTAGTACCCGTAGTAGTAGTAGCAGTAGCAGCAGCAGCAGCAATAGCAGTAGTAGTAGCAGTAGTAGTAGTAGAGTAGTAATGGTGGTAGTAGTAGTAGTACTAGTACCAGTAGTAGAAGTAGCAGCAGCAGCAATAGCAGGAGTAGGAGTAGGAGTAGTAGTAGTAGCAGCAGCGGTAGCAGTAGTAGGAGTACAAGTAGGAGTAGGAGAAGAAGCAGCTGGAGTGGTCGGAGTAGTAGTAGAAGCAGTAGCAGCAGTACTGCACCAGCAGCAGCAGTAGCAGTAGCAGTAGAGCAGCAGCAGGAGCAGAGCTATAGCAGTAGCAGTAACAGTAGCAGTAGCAGTAGCAGTAGCGAAGTAGGAGTAGGAGTAGGAGTAGGAGTAGGAGTAGGAGTAGGAGTAGGAGTAGGAGTAGGAGTAGGAGTAGGAGTAGGAGTAGTAGGAGTAGGAGTAGGAGTAGGAGTAGGAGTAGGAGTAGGAGTAGTAGTAGTAGTAGGAGTAGGAGTAGGAGTAGGAGTAGGAGTAGGAGTAGGAGTAGTAGTAGTAGTAGTAGTAGTAGTAGTAGTAGTAGTAGTAGTAGTAGTGGAAGAGTAGTAGTAGCCGTAGCCGTAGTCGCAGAAGTAGTTGATAGTAGTAGCAGCAGGCAGCAGGAGTGTTCCCAACACGCCAAAGTATCAACCTAAAAAATGGCTGATTCTACAGCCAGCCCCCTTGAGTGATTTTTAGGGGATCCGCGGATGAATATGGTCCTCGTTCAGGTGTCTTGGCTGTCTTGTTGGGATCCATTGCGAATTTGGCTCTGTGTGAATCACCTTTGCTTCCTGAAGGAAAGCACAAGGTGTTGGACAAGGTGGGCAGGTAATCATCATATTGGCCGAGAAAGCACCAGTTTCTGGAACCCGGCCCTTGCAGTCAGGGAGCTGTAACAATTAGTTTGTCCAGGCTCCTGAATAAAAAGATCCAGTCAATTGTTTGGGACCTTGTCCAAAACTGGACCAGACGGTTCAATCGTCGATTCACTCGACTGAGTGAAATTTGTCCAGGGCCCGCTCATTTACTCTTGGACGGGAGGGCATGGTCCCGTCGGGGTCGGGCGCTAAGCCTTTTGCCCACTTGGGTCCCCACCTTCCTCTCCGCATCCAAGTCAGCCAGCAGCGGCACGCTTCCGAAGACCTGGCGGATGACTGGACCGGGGCGGGCGAAGGGGTCTGCCTTGAGATGAGCATTGGACACAGGCCCAGGAATTCCCCTTGGGCAGTTCCTCTTTGGACCCATTGGCAAAGGCCTGTGAGCGATTCCAAGCAAGTGAAACAGGGTGGAGCACATAGATGCGTGGTTGCCTTTCGTGGAACGGTACGTTTTATGTCATTAGGCACCCTGAAAAACAGGCCTCCTATTCTTGGGTGTTGAGTCCCACCAACGGGCCACCTAATGGCAGAATATGTTTGGCAAGGCCCATAAAGGTATGCTTGCGGTTCGACATGGCTACAAGCAACAAACAAGAACACACGCGCACCCAATTTGTCTGCTCGTCTGATACTGATGCTATGCACAGCATAGGCTGATCCAGGAAACACACTGGCTAGGTGTTTCCCTCTAAAAGTGGCAGGATTAGCAATCACGGTTACCTGAAGTTCCCTTCAAGCATCACCCCCCACAAAAGGAAACTCGATTGACATTCCCCGACAAAAAGGGACAAAACCCTTTCAAGAAAAAAGCATGGAAGCTGAGAAAAGGGTGTTGGAAAGCAACTTTCCCTTTGCGGCTTGGCCCCCAGTCCACTTCCTTTGCTGGACAGAGGACGTGTCGAACATTTGGGGATCCTCTTAAGGGGCGGCTTCCGTTTGGCCTGAAGGCAACTACTTCCCAGGGACCCCCCGCGCCAACTTGAGACACTTGGGACACCTCGCACTTGCGCGGCTTGCGCGATGCCTGTGTCCGAGCGATGAGCTTCATCCGCTCGAGGTCCTGGCGTGGCAAATCGAGCGTGGAACAGTGGGGGAAAAAGTGGAGCCACCCCCGGCGCTTGCAGAAAGGAGTATCCCTGAACATCGGGCATCTTGCGGTCCCTGCAGAAGCCACCAATCACTCTCACTCTACTCCAAATGGGCCCTTTTGCTTTTGTGAACAGGTTCTTTTTGAGTTTAATTGTTTTCCGAATGTTGATGTGTTTGCAATGCAAGTGTGTGCTAAATGTGCTAGTTATCAACAATGGAACCCATATATAGACCCAAGAGAAGGCAGGACATGCAAAACAAATGTCTTCTTAAAAGGTACAAATCGTTTATACACACAATGCACGATAAGCCGTTTCGGGGCGCGAGGGATTTCGAGCCATGTTGATGCTCAATTTTGGCTCGTGTTCCCTTCAATGGAATTCTCTTCAACAGTTACTTATAGATCTGGCTCGGCATTGCTCCCCAGCAATTTTTGCGCATCCCCACTTTGAAGTCAGAGTCTCTTTCTGACCATCATGGAACTAGAAGGGACCTTTTCCCGTTGAGGTTCCCCATAATTTGTAGGTAAAAAAGGTAGTCCAACCCCCCACCACCACCACCACCGTTGCCTGACATAGCCTTGGGTGTGGCACGTGTATGTTTATGCATTCTTCTTCCTTTGTTTTTTTTTGAGGGGGTGGGCGGTGCCTTTTTGGTGCTTCTTACAAAAGGAACGCATGGGATTCCCAAGCGTTGGGGACAAACCCACGTATTTTCTCAGGAGAGATCCCCTGACTTGAGCTGATGTCCAAAGGAAACCCTGCGGGGATGGAAGGCCTCCGCGGAGAGCTGCTTTTGGATGTCCGCGCGGCTGAGGCCCAGCGCGATGACCGCCGTCTGCGTGCGGACCTCGGCGCTCGGCGCCGCAACCCACCGGGAGGTCGGCCCGAACCGGCGAGGTCGGGCTCAAGTTGGAGGACTCCTCCGGTTGTTGGGCGAAGAAAAAAACAATTTTGTGTTTTGTTTGTTTTGTTTTTACTTTTCTTGTGTTTTCCACAGTTCGGGATGACATCCCCTTTCATTGTCTTCCGTCTAATTGGTGGTTTGGGGTGTTCCGGAGGTGTTGGCCCATTTAGCCTCTACAAGAACCAGGGGTTTAAACCACTAATCCAAACCAACAGGACAAACATCGAAAAGACAACTTGTTGTTTCCGCCTCTCAAAACTCAGGATAGCCAACAACAAGTTGTGTCTGTGATTGTATTTCAAACTTCAGGATCATACACTGTTTCCTATTTGGCGTCCTTTCAACTAACCCTCCAAAAAGAAAGGTTCCATACTACAATGGCCAGAATACGATGGGTAGTTCGAAATCAAGTTCCATCCTGCGACCGGTTGCTATGGACACCGAAATGGTTGGTTTCCCGAATGGACGTGGCGCCATTATGCATGAGTGGTTCTTGATATCTCAAAGGTGCACCCCCCAAATGTTGGGCTCCCCCCCTTGGTTTCCGTTGGAAAAAAAAAGGATGCCCTTCACAATTTGACATAATATGTATATATATACATATAATAACATAACGTTGCATACATGTTGAAGGAAGCAAAATAACTTCAACGGGCTTGTGGCCTAGTTTGATCCTCAACCAAACCTAGTAGATTATAAAAGAACTCTGTTCCAAGCGAAACCCTTCCCCATACAACACACAGGGCCAAAGGGAACTTCTGTATTGGTCCTACGGTCCCCGTTGCTTAACCCATTTGGCCATGCTGTCCATCCTCACTCAGGAAGGTCATGTGAGCGACCCGTCCCACAGCCGTGAGAGGTTCCCTGAAGACAACCCCCTCTCAGGTGCCATATTGGGAGGGCGGACATTGTTTACATCCCTAAAGGACCAGTATCACGGTGAGCTCGCTTTACCCCTCACGCCAATGAGCGTAAGCTTGCCATCAAGGCAGAACCAAGCAGGTCGCCCGTAAGGCTTCAAGGGCACCTCGTGGCCTCTCGAGTCTCCGCGCCGTGGCCGTGCGGGGCATGTCATAGAGCACCGCGATCTCCCCGAAGAAGGCGCCCTGGGCCGAAGATGGCCACAGGGTCTCAGGGCCGAAGATGCGTGGCATCTTCGGCCAGGTGGGTTGTCACCATGATAACTGCGACCAATGGGCTCAGTTGCTGTGAGACCATGTTTAGCCTTTCGAAAATTTGAGTAGTTCCCCAATAACCGTGGTGACAGCAAACTGTGGGTTACTTCCCACTTACACATCACTCCAAAAGGACGACCACTTCATATCGTCCAAACAGTGATGTTTAACGCACCAAAAAGGGAACATAGGGCACCCTGGTTATCGCAATGGGAGCTGGGATAGATCAGCTAGTTCCGGTGACATTCGCCATGTCAGCCACCTTCGAAGAGTGGCCGCACCCATTTCCGGCGTTGCTCTCTGCGAACCTTCTGCCCAGGATTTGAGTGTCTACATTGCTTCTGCTCACTTTTGCGGCGGGAAACTGCGATGTTCACAAGATACGGCTTTCTTTCCAACAAGAGGACCGTAATCTTCCAACTGTCACACCAAACCCGAAGCACATGTTGGGTAGTTGGCACGGACGCCCCCTTGGGTACTTGGCACCGAAAAGAACACTTCAAAGGCTGAAAGGAAAACACATAGGTGTCGAGTTCTATGACCAGAAGGTCTCAGAGGCTGAAAACCCCAAATCATCATCTACCGCTTTACAAGTTCAAGCGAAAATGCATTGGCTTCGAGAAGATCTCAGGGGCTGAAGCCAACATCAAACACCAGCCTGGGGAGGCTAGGCCTTTTCTGGGTTGTGATCTGGGCAAAATGTTGTGATCTGGGAATCAACAGGAATGACCGCTTTGGAGTCTTTTAGGAAACCACCAAGGAGGTTCAGTTCCTGGCGTTTCCCTAAAATCCCCTGCAATTGCCAGCAAATGAAATCGAGTGCCTCAAGGGGGGCATCTTGGGTTCCTTGGCAGGGGTGATTTTGCTTCAAGCCTCTTGTGTGTTGGAACAGACAAGCGCCAGCCAGCAATGGTAGAAAGAACCCCCCTACCTTAGGCGGAGGGTGGGTCCCCAATTCCATTTATTTAGTCTTCCCCATAAAAGGGAAAATGGAGCCACAAATGGAATTCCAGGGGTCACCCCCCTCCCCCGATTCCATTTTTGAGGGGGTGAGGATGCAGAAAGAACCAACCAGGCCTTGCTGAGCTGGCCGATGGTCACTTCACGGCCATTCAGCTTCTTATTCACCTCGCACGTGCCACCTCGAGCTGCCGGACAGGTTGCGACAAACACGGTGCTGGCGCAAAAGGGGAAACAGCACAACACGAGATCGCGAGTATGAGTCACTGTGTGTGTTGCTGCTGCAACTGCTTGCGCCTTTCGCTTTTGGTCTGTGCTCGTGTCAAGAAACGACACAATGACATCTGAAGTCTGAGATGGGTGGATTCCGAGATAGAACACACGCCGCAAAGGGTCGATATGTCCTGCTGTCGGCTCTCGCTTGCTCTTGTTCCCTACTCGACAATGGCAAAAACTCATCTCCTTCATTGCGCCCAATTGCAGGGCTGCGCGTTCCAAGCACATGTAGTTGTTCCCTTCCCCATCCCCCAGCATCATAGGATTCCGGGGAACACGGAGGGGAAACTGTAAAAGCGGGGGACAAAACAAGCTTGCCAGGTTTTGGTTCTGAGGAAGTTAAAGGGCTGCTTTGATTTACAAGCCCATTTAACCCTTGTTCTGGGAACATAGCGGTCAGCCTCGAAATCTTCCGCCAACAATTGGCTTGATTCCACAAGCCATCCCTCGCCAAACCAAAGGCCACACTGCGCTCAGGACTTCACGCTCGATGATGTAAAGCCTGTCCCCAACCTGGCGCCCAAATCTTGGCAAGAATCCGGGGTGGTCCCTTTTGCCACTTCTTTTGGAGCAAACTCTACGTCCAAAAGGAGCCCACGGACTGCTGAATTTCGTAAGAAGTCCTCGAATTTTGGCCGGTGAAATAGTTATTGCGGAAAAACATCGGCGAGATAGCAGTCATCACGGACACGAATCACCACCCAAAGCAGCCGTTCAAGCCTTGTTTGGCCTTCTTTGACCTTTTGCCTGAATAAGGCTTACAAATTGGGAACAAGTGTTTTTTTGGGTGGTGTGTGGGGTCGATCTCTGCAATCTTGCCTGAAACCACAAACAGAGTCCCCGAAAACATGGGTGTGTTTTGTCGGCGGGTCCTGTCTATCTGCAGGAGAGCAAGCCTTTCGGACCAGCAGAAACACAGGTCGACCAGTTTTGGACCTTTTGGACCGTTTGGTTTTCCAGCTTTAGACTCGCCCGACCAGACCAAAACTGAAAGAACGGGGCAAAGAAAATCCAAACAACCCACCCATTATCAGAACATGCAACATGGAAGGCTAGCTGTCACTTCCTTATAAGGCTGCCTACGCAAGCTCCCGCGGAAGGCCTAAAAACATGACATGGGCGCATGGGTCGCGTGGTGGCTTTGGCTTTGGACTTACATGAGCAGCTCACCAACATTTCCGCAAGAAACAGACAAGAGAACACCAACACCGAAATCCAGAACCGATACCAAATCCTCAAGGCTGCGTTTTCCCTACAAGAAAACCTTGCAACCTCTCTCATGTGCGAGTTGGTCTTGTTTGTCCGTGGTTTGCCGGCCATCCATGTCTAGCTCCCACGTGTACCTAAATGGGCAATTTTTGGATGATCAATCCCAAAAAGAGTGCCCTTTTTCCGTGAGCTCCTTATAATTTGCCCCGAGTTCTGGCCCTCGCCCACTCCGAATCCCACCTCACCCTCCTTGATGATGAACTGCCCCCGCTCGAAGGTCTGAGGTTTGAGGCAGCTCACCAACCTCGGTTTCGGGAGTGCGAGTTCCATGAGACGCAAGCAACGAACCAAAACATGAAGAGCGTTGGGTAGTTTCGTTCGTTGTCAGTCTGTCTTGCTAGCTCAAACTCAAAGATGGTGTTCCAAACTTTACATCATATTCTGAGTTCTTTTGCCCGGTGTATCTAACAGCTGCACCACAGTGAATGGTTACACGGAAAATTGAACTGGTGCAATTGGCACAAGGCAGCGTGCTGCAAGTCTAATCCCTTCCCCCTAATAATAAAAGGGCCCCCTAATAATAAACAAATCCCTGCCGGCCTTTTTTTATTATTAAGGGGCCTCTGGTTCTGGAGGGCAGGATTTGGAGGTACCTCTTGTTCTTTGTAGGCTTTGCTGCAACTGTGCCCCCCCCCCATTTCCGGGCTGCAAAATCGCATCAAACGGCAATTTCCGAGTACGGAATTCAAACAGCAGAAGTCGAGGTCATGTTTGGTATTTTTTCCTGTGGGGTTTGCTGCAACCCCCTTTTTTGGGCTGCAAAATCGCATCAAATGGCCATTTTCGAGTAAGGAGCTCCGGGTCGAAAGTCGCAACTTTGTAGTACAACTGTAGTAAAGGAAGCGTACCCCCGGGTCCCTCCTTATTAGGGCTCGATTTGAGAAAGGATTACTGGTTTCCCGACCGCACCATAACAGGCCCCTCCCCCACGGGCAATGCTGGGTAATAGATGGGCAAAGCCTCTGAAAGTTCTGTCTGCCTGATACTACACGGCATAGCCTTTTGCCAGCAACGTACGGGCCAACAATCATTACATCTGGCAACACAGCACGGCAAGCCAGGCTGGTGTATCAGCAGGCTTCGCGCAACCCCTGAACTGTATTGATTGATGTGTGGAGTGAGCTTGTATGAGGTTTCATGAGGGTGAGTGAGGTTTCGTGGTGGCCCACCCTGTACTGCACAGGACTTCGCCCTCCAAGCTGCATGTACGGCCTGGAGTTTGTAGGGTTTTGTTCGGACAATGGGTCCAAGGAAATGGTTGTGGTGGAACCAGACTCTGAGTCTGGGGAATGATGCGGGAAATCATTCATAAACTGCCCCCATAGGTGGCTATACATTACACATCATTACACCAAAGCCAAAGGGTCTCTACTTAAGCTTCATACCTAGGTTAATTCAGCATCCTAGCATCAAACCAGGCATGTGCTGCGTCCGCATTTTTTTTTCTGCTGAGTCATGTGCCCACGTTCTGCGCGAGTGAAACGCTGGAGATCTGCCTTGGGCAGTCACCATGTTCAGCCGAACGTCTGCCAGAGCTCTGATCTCAACTAGTGCCCGTGGTACCCTGAGCTTGGCTCCTTTCGGAGTCGATGTTTGTCCACCGGAACTTAGAAAGAACTCTGATCTACCACCTTGGCTTGTCTCAAACACGAAACCGAACCCCAAAACGGGCGGTTTCCCTGTGACCTCCCCTCCGAAGCTTGGCCCAAATCCTTGACGCTACCAACCAAGCGGCCTGCGGCACGCTGGCCGCACCGTGTGAGCTCGCTCACGGCAGGAACCATCCATTCGGCGATCCGGGAGGCGAAGGCTGTCAGCCGTGGATTTTGGAGTCCTCGGGCGGGAAAATGAATCATCCTTCTGATGCCAAGGGCTATCCCCATACTTTGTCATTAAAACAGAGTTTAGCGTCACAGCCCTCAAAGTCTCTTTCCCAATAGAGTTGGGAGTGGGGACCCTGAAACGGGCTGACCACTTTCCCAGCGGATGGGAGAACACAAACACCAAGTCCAAGATCCGGGCTGGTGCCAACAAATCCATGGTTTGATAATGCTCAGAGAAAGGATGGTCCAAGTTGTTGCTGCCACTGAAATGGTCTTCCAAGTACAAAGGAAGAGTGGGCCTTCAGTTTCCTGGTGGCTTCCCCTTTAAACCAGCTCCGAAAGGAGCACCAACTCCAAATATACACACAAAACAAATGGCTGGCGGCGTACCTTTGATTTGCCTTGAAACCAACTCGAACGACGGCGCCAAAATCCAAAATGCCGTTTCTTGTTTGGCATCGCCTTACGCCCCCGGAAAAAATACCAAGCCTCAGCAACGGTCTAATAAATTAGAATGGGTCGTGGGTATCTGCAAACCAAACTAACCAGGCCCCTTAAAGTAAACATGTTTATGGTTTCTCCAAACAAATCTTGCATTTAGAGTGTAGTATTGTGAATGTCATGTTCATGGACCCAGATTAAGTCAACATCATAGTAGCGTAAGTACCTCATAGTATGGCTTGGATGCGGAAGCCTTTTATTGATACGTCCCTTAAGGAAATCCACAAATTACAGTGCTAAGAGAGCACCAAGTGAGGGGATTCCAAAAGAACACCGTCTCTGAACTAGGGTCGCTCAAAAATGGCAGATCCAGCAGCTAGCAAGGCAGCAGCTATCATTCTGGTTGGCCCATGGTCAAGCCGCTTTAGTCCACTCGCTTGCGCTTCCTGTGTTTTCAAAGGGCCGGGACGACTGCACTTCCCAGGTCACGAGGGGTGCCAACTGATCCAAGGTGCACCAGAGGCCAGTCGCTACCTTTTATGGTCTAACAAAGACCTTGTGAGCATGGGTTAGCTTGGCCCCAGCAAATAGTATTTCGAATAGCCTACCCTGAGACATACAAACTGAGCACAAACAAAATGCGCCGTTTGCAACGGACTCCAGCTTGTCAATGACTCATGGCCAGGCAACTGGATATGACCCATACACCATGGGTCTTTTGTGCATAGCACCCAACTCAACCAAGTCTACAGCTTGCCTTACGCCGACTTAAGCACAGACTGGCCAAGTTGCGAACTTCCCCGCCCAAAATCAAGCTACAAGAGAGCACATCTTTGCATACAGTATATCTGTATATATATATATGTATAATGTCGCATCCAGGTGTGGTGATTTACTCCTCGGTACCTTGCGTAAACCAGCAGAAACATGTAAAGGCCAAGCCTTCAGGGTTTAGAGGCACCCGGAACAGGGATCATGCGGGGGTCGATTAGTTTTGACACGAAAAAGTTAATCCACCGGCCGCAATCACAGGGTGCCAGGGGTCATATTAAACCTTGACAATGGCTGTGCACATGCCTTAAATAACATGTTCTCACTGTAAACTTACAAGGCCAATTCACATCTCTGGTATTTTCGTCAGGCTCACACTAATCTGGACCCCCAAGCCCCCAGGGCAACCCTCACTAACGTGGTTTGCCACGTTGTTGTTTTTCGGAGCTGTGAAAACCAACAGTCTCAAAAGGAAGCCCACTACACCAGGCAGCCATTTCGAGGCTACACTGAGCCCGCTGCCCGCTGACTTTGGGCATGCAGACTGTGCCGCCCCGCAACTTAGAACACAAGAAACAATATGTTCAGATTCTGCTTCATGTGTGGTCTCATTACCAAAAGTATGAAAGAATTGGAAGAACCGGGCAAGGACTTGGACCCTTGTCTCCATCAACCCCTCAAGCCGCGGTCAAACAAACCTCCTGCAGCCGAAGGCGCGACTCTCTCAAAGAGCTTTACGTCCTTTACCCGCGACTCCTGAAGCAAGCTGACTTGAATGCCAGCCGCGGATAGCTTCGAGTTAATCGGGAGGAACAAAAAGGGCTGTGTGGATGCAATGAAATTCGCTCATTTTCGGGGCATGACTTTGTTTAGTATCTGCAAACCAGCAAGGCAACAAACCAAAGCGACTGCCCTGGTCAACGGACAGCAAGGGAAAGGAAGGGACGACTACTCCAGCTCCTCCTTCAGCTGCCCTGAAGAGTCCCTTCCGGGTAATTCGTGTGGCCCCCTTTAATGGAGCCAATGTGTTCTCCCGCGTTTGTTTCCAAAGTTTCTCAAACGATCCCGAATTTGTTCATGTGTTTCCCAACTTTTCCACTTTTACCATGTGTATGCAAAGCCAGGACCCAACAGTTCCTGGGCCACGTCTGCCTTTTTGCTGTCAGCCCGAAGCAAAATGAGACCCCAAAACAAACTTGCTGAGGGAAGGATCTCGAACTGAACCATTACAGAGAGTGAAGCTCCATTTGGAAAAATTACACGAGGACTCCAAGGGGGACGCTAAGCAGTTGGAGGCTTTCTTGTCTTGAGATACGCCTCGCTTCCTGAGTGGATTGGCTAAAGAAGTTCAACAAACAACACGGAGACTCGCTGCACTGGGTCCTGTGTCAGCAGCACATGGACAAAGTCCGGAGGGTCGCTGTCGTTGATTTGACCTGGTGTGCACTTCTTGTGTTTTGCTGGAACGGGAACATGTCATGTTGGTCACGCCAAAGGCTGGCCACGTTCATTCACCATTTTGTTCGACACACCTTCCTAGAGCCGATCAGCATGATGGGCACCCTGGATAGGTTATCCTTGCTTGGAAAAACCGGGGCTCTGTACCCCGGAAAGGACTTTGCTACACTTGTTCCGGGGCCATGTGGAAGCCCGCACAACAAAAGCTTCACCACTGGCGAGCCCATTCGCTCTGAAGACCAACTTCCTACGCTTGAAGCTTAATCATCCTTCAAAGGCCAAGAGAGCAAGCAACCCTCCAATCACTGCACCAACGTGCGTGAGGTACGTTCAAGCAGATGAGTGGGAAAGCGTCAAAGCAAGTCCTTGCCCGGTTGGGTAGGTACCGGCCTTTGTGGCGGATTCTGAGATTCTGAGACAAAAGGCAGTGCGCTTCCAAAACTTCCACAAGCCAACTCTGCGTGCAAGCTGCACTTTACCCAGAACTCCGTGTCCTTGGGGCCGGAGGAGTATCTGTATCTCTTTGCCTCGGCAATGGTATTTGGCATCAAGTCAGTGACTGTTTCATGCAAGCGCTGCGCCCCCAAAACCCATAACACAACAGGGCCACAATGTATATATATATATATACACCCCTCCCCCCCCCTGCCGTCTGTGCAGAGAGTCTCTGAGAGAGAGAGAGAGAAACATATATATATATATATGTATACACAATGTCAGTGCGCGTGTGACACTTTAAGGGGGCAATGCC